TCTCTCTCTCTCTCTCTCTCTCTCTCTCTCTCTCTCTCTCTCTCTCTCTCATGCACACATTTAAAAATATTGAGGTCAGAAGAAAACTTTAGAAAGTGAGGGGTTTTTTTTGGGGGGTGTCAGGCTTGGTAGCAACCTTTTCCTCCCAGAATTCTAAAAGTTTTTGGACATAGAGTCGCTCCAAGTAGCCCAGGCTGGCCTTGAGCTGGCGTTCTACTTGCCTCAGCCTCTAGAGTGCTCGAATTATAGGCTGGAATCACTAAACCAGCAAGAACTGTAGTCAACTGTAGTCAACTGTACTCATCTGCCACTTGGCTCTGCTCCTCTACTGGAGATTAACCTTAGGGCATCTTTCATTCTACAGCTGCACTGTACCCCTAGCTCTTTAAGCATACATTTCTTTATATTTCTTCTTGAGATATCTCCTTAGATTATAGAGCTAGCTTTGGATTTACTCTGTAGCTCAGCCATGCCTTGTACTTGCACTCCCTTGCTTAACCTGAGATTACGGGCGTGAACAACCCAAGCTTGCCTTAAAACTGTTATGAATTTATTTATTTATTTTTTTGAGACAGAGTTTTTCTGTGTAGCCCTGGCTGTCCTGGACTTGGGTGGCCTCAAACTCAGAGATCCACCTGCCTCTGCCTCCTGAATGATGGTATTAAAAGCATGTGCCAGCACTACCACTCAAACGGTAATAAAACAGTAATAAAAATTCATTATTTATTTATTAACACCACAAATGCTGCCCCCTAGTCCCCCTTACACAGTTCCTCCCCCACCCTCTCCCCTGCACATATGAGAGGGAAGCCCCTCCCCATAACCCTCACTCCACCCTGGTGCACAAAGTCTCTTGAAAAACATATATAGCTAGGAAATAGCTTCCAAATTTAGAGGAAATAATAGTTGGCAGAAAGGAGTCAAAAATGTTGATGTTTCCTATTTCAATTTGGCTTATTTGCCTGGTGTTTTACCTGTATAGTTTTATATGTTATAGGATACTCTACTCTCTTGTAGCTCTGCCACATGCAGACTCTTTCTGATCCAAAAGCAACTTCAGGTTTGCTTTTATCGCGTCTCTCTGAAACACATTACTCCCATAAGTGCTAATTGTTCAAAGCGTTTCATGTAAAGTACCAGGGTGGATTGTTAAGTATAATTTAACGACATTTTGACTAATTTGTCACTCATCTACATTTTGTGATGTTCGAACAGCAAAACATGCTTTCCTTGTATAGTGAATTGTGTTTTATCTTCACTGAAATTTTTATATGCTACAGCTGTTTTTAATTTAGAGCTTGCTAACACTGGCATGGTCTGGAGCTAAGAGCTTGTACTAGTTGGTAAAGTTGACTTGAGTAGTCCAGTGACGATTTATGAAAAAAATTCCTTTCGAAACCATAAACATATTCAAATATTTTCAAAAAAGTTTGCTTAAGCTGTGCTGTTGTCTTTGTTAAATTTCGGGATCCTCTGGAGTTGGTAATCTAACCACCAGACTATGCTACTGTGTCAGAACGAGTATTTTCATATTCAAAGAGAAACCGACTAGTTTTTCAATGTCACTGCATATGGGGAGAAAATTAGATTTGAAAAATTCTGTTGCTTATATCATGAAAAAATGCATGCTGATGTTTACATGTTCCTATATAAAGCACTGTATATACTTACATCTGTATTTAATCTATACAGTTTCTTTTTGAATGTCTATGCCTTGAATTTCCTTGGTAACAACCTTAACTCAAATAGCATTGTCATCTAGAGGCTTCCTTTATGTCTTTCTTTGTAATCTACAAAGAACTTTGTTTTCTTTTGTTTCTAGTACATTGTGATGCAAATTAAAGCTGTCTGTAGCTGCTGCATTGTGATATATCAAATGGTATTCTCAGCAAAGATATTTAAGGTCTTTACCTAGAACAAAGTAATTACATTTTTAAAGACTAAATTGAAACAAAAGACTCATTTCTGGGTTTCTGTTGAGCCTGACCCGTACAGGCTGGGCCTTTCCCAAGTGGTTCCAGTTCTTCGTTCTCATTTAGTCAGGCAGTCACCAAACTTCAGCTGGCTGTGCTCTCCATTTCAATGATTTCTGTCTTCTTTGTTGGCTAATTGGAGGGGAGAGGGCTTCCCATTCTTTCTGTAAAGGACTTTGTGCAAATGATGCATCTATTAATGGAACTCTTCTTTTTGTATGAGTGTGGAAATCAGAGGACAATGTCACTGAAGTTGGAGCTCACTGGTTCCCTTAGGCTGGCCGACAGAAGTCTCTCCTTTCTCAGTGCTGGGATTATAGACATGCACCGCCACTACAGCTGACTTTTTACATGGGTGCCAGGCATCTCAACGCGGGTCCTCCTCCTCTGGCATTTTACCAAGTGAGCCCTGAATGAAGCTTTACCTTGTCAGCCCTGAAGGAACATTTTCAGGATGCTCATTGATGATGCTGTTTTCAAATATTCCTCTTAGTGTTTGATGTGTGCTTTAGGAGCAAGTGTGCTACTACAGTTTTCCCTCCAGACTATTGCATACTTTCTCCAGGTGATATACGTTTGGAGACCAATAAACACAGTTCTCAGTATGAGAAAATGCAAACCAGACTTGAGAGCATGCTTAGACGCATAAAGCAAGTCTTTTATTTCTCTCTTTCTTTTTCTTTTTTTCTTCTTCTTCTTTTTTTTTACTTATAATGGCAAAGTAAACGACAGAAGGCGTGTGAGGCTGAGCAGAGACTGAACACGATTAAGTGCCATTAGCCTGGTCAGTGTTCTATCAAAAAGCCATTACCATTAATTTCTCAGCTCTACTCATGTAAGAGAAAAACACTGACTGAGTAGGAGGGGGGTGTTCCCAAGATGAGATGTTACAGGGGGATCTATATGCCACCCTACCAAGCTACCCGGGAGTGAGTAAACTCGATTGTTTTCCTGCGAGATGAGATGTACAGAACCTGCGATCAGAGTGGCTTGAAGCTCTAGCCGTTACCAGTATTGTTTTTGAAAATTATGCTATAGAAAAGACACAACAAATTTATGTATATAGTTTTAATAAAGGAGATAGGAAGATAAAGCTGACCAGTCTTTTTCCAGTATTTCTGCAGCAAGACATATCGTTTTAAGAACACTATATATATGTATCATTGTAAGCAGACTGATGGCAAAAGGGATTTATAGCAAATTGGCAACTTGAGCTTAACTGTTGAAGTCCCCCAGTGTCTTTCCTTTTCTGGTTCTCCAATATATTCCATATATTACTAAGACCCAGACCTCTCTTTCCCGCTGTGTTCCTTTGCTGATTTAGACAGCAGTCTGAAAGCAATTATTCTTTGAATGCATCTTATTGTTCTTTTCTTTTAACCATTCCCTACCAAAAATGAACATCCTGATAGATTGAATTCATTGTGTGTTTTAACTCATTCTGCTGATGGATGTTAACCAGGCTTCTCCAAAGAACACATTTAATGATTTTGAATACTGTGCAGGACAAGCCTTAGCCCTTTTGGAGTAGTAAACAAGTTAAGGGTTGCATGCTAGTTAAAAGCCACCCATTCCTTATTATATTACATAATGCTCACATGCAAAGACTACAGTATAATAGGGTATTTTATAGGTGTGGTTAAAGAAATGCAAATGTAGCACACACTGTCAACCATTTCGTCCTGTTTGCACAGAGTGCATGAATTTTCTGTGAACATGGAACTTGCATTAGGGTCTAATGATCTTGTTAGATGTCCTCTGTGCCTCCGCACAGAACATGTCTTTCAGCCCAACTGGGTCTCTTAGACACTCTGACAGCAGATATTTTAGAACAGATAAATGAAATGTTCTTCATTTCCTGTGATTTGGACTTCATTAAAAAGGAGAGAACAGAATCATCCCTGTGAAACATTTGTTCTAATGACCTAGCAATCTGCCTTAAAAGAAGGGTGTACATTCATGTCCATGTGCACACATGTTGATATCTGGGATGAGAGTTGAAAGAGCTAGACTATGAATGATTATTACATTCCTGTCAGTTGGGGCCTTGTTAAATCTCAGGTGTATATTGCAATAATGCATACTACACAGTATTCTTAAAACATACCTTCTAGAACTGTGCTTAAATATCCATTAACATACATGCCTATACTTTGTGCAATTTGGCACGAACACGAGGAAGCACATTGTTTTCCCTGGAAAAACAAACCCTGAGATTGGGCGTCTAGGTGCCACAGGAGATTATGGCAATGGCTGATGCTATCTAGTGCAAATACTTATGTTTTATAGGTTCAGTGAGGGGAAGAGGCACATATTGCATTAGAAAATAAATTGCTGTCTAAATTGCAAACTTCAAGATGTTGGAGAAAGAGGGACTCTTGGAATGTGATTCTGTTCTCTTTGCTCCATGGTTATTCTGGCACTAGAAAGTAAAGTCTCTCTAATAATAGTTATGTGCTTTTGGATGGCACTTTATCTCCTTTATGTTTATTTTTTGGAAAAATAATTTCCATTTTATCTTTTCCCAAGGACATTGTTGCAACAAATAGAAGAAGATTAACAAAGTATTCTAGGCTCTGCAAGAAAATATTCTGTACTAGGATCATGGAGGAAAAGAATGGAGCAGATGTGTTTGCTTAGAAATACTGTAATGTTTAAAATTTTCATCCTAGTCCTGCAAATAAAACTACATAAGAGCACTAGGGAGTTACATAGCACCTTTTAGCCGTGGGATATTAACAAGTAGCTCCACTTTCCAACTGTGGAAGCAGAGCACCAAAGATTGGGGGATGAGATCCCACAGAGGTTACTGGGCAGAGTTCCAAGGAAAAGAAAGCAAATGAGTGAGGTCAGGGTGTGCTAATTATGAAACAAACCTGTCTTCTTGATCAATAACTAACCACTTAGATGCCTATATACATAGTAATCGACACACAGAGAATTTATGTATAGGGATATTATCATCATCTATAAACTAATAAGATCAACATACTTAAAGAAGAATAGGGTTTCTTCTTTCTCCAAGCACCCAGAGAAAACCCTGGTTTATTTGGCCTTTTTGAGACAGCATAAGTCTTAAGACACTGAACAATCAGCTTGCATTAACCTGAGCTTTACCTTTCCAGTGCTTCCCTGTAGTTTACTAACATTGTCTTTTGTGACATGATGTCTATGAGGGCCGAATGCTAATACACTCCACAGAGAAGTTCCTATGCTTTCCGGACTTGACAGCACAGGCAGCAGCCTGTGCCTTAGCAGAAGATGATACATAGGGTCAGGGAAGGTTGCTTTGATGCTGATTTCTTGTGAAGTGCTGCTTGCACCCCTTTATAGAAAGGTACATTTTTATAGGACTAGAAGGCAAGGCTTGTGGACCATAAAGCCACATGGATGGCTAAATATGCTTCCAAAGAAAAGCTAGACATGAGAAATGCTTCAGAAGGAGCAATGGAAAGGCAGAGTTTTTCCTATGCGAAAGTATAAACTTTTATTATGAAATCCAGCATGCACAGTCTGTGTTACTCCTCAATTTGTGAGTTTTAGAAGCAGTCTCTAGGCCCTGGCCCTAATAGATTTATTTATTTCTTGTATTCTCTCAAATGAAATGCAGACTACAATCTTTTTATTTGATGCTAAATACCTCACCTTCATTAAAATGACCCAGGGGGACCAAATGGACCCATTTGGTTGTTGCTTTCAATAGCTGGATTGTTTTCCTTCTTAGTTGCACTGGAACCCCAACACAGATTTGTTTGTGCCAGGCAACTCTTTTTCACTCAGAGACATTTTAGAGAGAATAATTTAGTAAACCCAACTATCTCTTAAGGAGTTCAATTCCTTGATAACTGAGATGCCTGTAACTCCCACTGATCTCTGTTAAGAGTTGGGGCTTTTATTGTCAGCAGCTGTGCATTAGAGTGCTGGGTGAAAAATGAAACCCATCAATACTCTTAGGTACTATTATTATAAAGAAGCAGCATTAGTGTCCATCTCATTGATCCAGGCACTAGGACTGAAAGGAAGGCTGGTTATAAATAAGTGGGGAAATGGATGTAAACTCTCTTAATGGCTGAGCTGCCACTGAAGCTTTAAAAAGGAGGACTGGAATATCACTGTTCAGTTAACTCTGTACATTAACTCCTGCTGTGAAAACACAGACCTTTAGCTAATCCTCAGGCTAGTGTCATATCTGAAACTTTATCTTCTTCAACAGAAGTTTAATTATACCTGAAAAGCATCCTTAAATCCGTTTTACAAAATGGATGGTTCATATGCTTAGGCTTAGAATCTTTCTACCATTATAAAAGTAATTTACAAAGGCTAAAACAAAGCTATATACCAGAGAACTGAATAAAATGGAGACTTTGACCACAGCCTAGCATTAAAAGTTTTTAAGAAAGTAATTCCTTTTTGTTCATTGTTTTTTTTTTTTTTAAGACAAGGTTTCCTTATGTAACACAAGCTGGGCTGGAACTCACATGGAGACCAACCAGGCTGGCCTTGCAGTGATCTCCGTCCTCTCTGCCTCCTAGGAGCTGGGAAGATAGGCATGCACTATCATGCCTTGTCTTAAAATATTAACTGTTACTTACTAAAGTGGAAGTCTGATCCGTTCCTCTGTATTAGTTGTGGTGCTTTCAGAAACTTCTGTGACAGGACAGGTTTTTGCCTTGTTAAATTCTCAACAGGACCTTGGTCACAGTCTATTTGATCTTAAACTTCAGATACATGATATAGGGTTTGTTCAGAGCTTATCAAATATTTAAACTGCTGTTTAGGTGACAAGCATGATCAAATACAAGCCTCAGTTTTTTAAACCTTGATATTTGGCAGAATTCTATATCGATATATTGCACACACATGTGTTTATATATGCCCATGAACATAAGCCGCAAATACATGCTGACTCCCCTCAATAGCAGAAAGACCCTGCAGTGAGACATGATTAATAGCCTTTTGTGAGGGGAATTAGACTCCAAGGCAATCTTCTGAATTCCTGCTTCCCAGACTAGACAAATATAAAGATATATATTTTACACTTAGGCTTTCATGGATTGGAGGAGGATAAAAAAGAAAAACCGGCTTGAAGCAATTGTTTCCAAACTGAGTTCATTCAGCAAAGTAAATTTGCAAAGTCCTGAAAGATTTGCACAACAAGTGTGTGATGGAACACCCAAACTGTGAAGCTATCAATCCAAAGCGGTGACTTAGCTTGAGGATTAGAGTGGTTCTCAATATTGAAGTCTGTAAGCCTCATGGGAGATGGCGGTTCCTGAGGATGAAAGGCAGAGATTTGCAGGTGAGGTGAACAACCAAAGTGACACCTACTTGATGATAATTTGTAACCATTAAAGTCATGTTATGAACATATGTTGAAAAAAAGAAAAAAATATGGCTCTGAAGGTAAAGGCACTTTCTGCTGAGCCCAAGGACCTGAGTTCAACTCCCGGAACCCACAATGGTAAAAGGAGAAAACCAGCTCCTGCCAGTTGTCCTCTAACACCCACCTCTTTGCTGTGGCATGCATAAGCCCCAACCCCAAACAAACAAACAAACAAACTTAAAAAAAGGAAATTAGTAATTTTGCTTCTGGATTCTGTTCTATGAAAATGGTTCCAATTGATTTCTTTTCAAGTACAGCATTCATAACCTTATTCCTCATAATGAAAAAATGGATAAAACTTTAAAGTTAGATTCAGTCTACAACACACACACACACTTAAATACATTCCTAAAATGCAGTTAGTTACCAGATAAAATATTATAAACATGTCAAGGCTTTTATATATGTCACCAACTTGCCTTCACACAAATGGATGTTATATGAATTTAAACATGTCTGCAATGATTATGAATACTTGTCTCCCCGGGCAGTGGTTGTACACACCTTTAATCTCAGTACTTGGGAAGCAGAGGCAGGTGGATTTCTGAGTTCGAGGCCAGCCTGGTCTACAGAGTGAGTTCCAGGACAGCCAGGGCTACACAGAGAAACCCTGTCTCTAACAGCCAAAAAAAAAAAAAAAAAAAAGACTACTTGTCTCACTGTGTCTTTACCAACATTAGATGCTACATAATTCATAAAGCCTGGCTGATTTAGCACACAAAACTGATAATTACATTATGTTAACTCTTTTTTTTACAGCAAGATTGAATAATTTTCTAACTTATTTATTAATTTTATCGATTGTATTGTTATATCTGTTGCTCATCTTTAACTGTTGTATTTTTCTTTCCTTAATGATTTGCAAGAAATAATTAAAGATGTTAAGTTTTGTATGCTGTATATTTTGCAAATGGTTTCAGTTTGAAGGAAATAGTATGTAGAATCAGTGAGTCTTTGTGTAATGATTATGTAAATGTTTTAATTATAAAAATTAAAACAAAATAAAAATTTCATGTTATGTTATTTTCAAGAATTGATTTTTATTTTAGGCATGTGTATGTGTGTTTCCTGCAGGTATGTCTTGCCCCATGTGCATATAGTGTAAATAGAGGCCAGATCTCCTGGAAATGGAGTAAGAGTTGATTATAAGCCACTATGTGATTCCTGGGAACTGAAACTGGGTTCTCTGGAACAGAAGTCAGTGCTCTTAACTACTGAGACACCTCTTCATCACCAGTGTTTGTTAATTCTAACTTGCAAACATGAGTATTATCTTTGTCCTTATTTTTCTTTAATTAAAAAAAACCCTCTTCAAACTAAAATAAAGAAAAATATATACAGAACTATAAGTTTGGACATATATAAAGTATTCAACTAGTCTATGGATAGATATTTAGGTTGAGTTCAGTTTGGATATTTTACAAATATCACTGTAGTTGCTATCTATACATATCTTAAAGTCTTCATAGCCCTGTGTGTCCTGGAATTCATTATGTATAACAGAGATAAAACTCAGAGATATACCTGTCTTAGCTTTCCAAGTGCCTGGATTAAAGGTATACACCCCTATACCCAGCTTCTTGACAAGTTTTAAAATATTTCTCCCATTGTTCTCTGAAACTGTAATTATTATCAGAACATGACTTTGTTGTTCCTATAAAAGCAATCGCCTAACTTATTTGGATAGTGTTCCCTAGAAAAGGTATCCTTAATGGCAGTTATGCTTCCATGGGGAAGCAGAAGCAATGTATTTCATGGTTGAATATTCATTCAGGATATTTATGAAAGGTTAGGGAGAATTGCATGGTCATATAAGTGTGAGAAATATCTTACTCCACTTTGGGGGATTCACAATATCCCCTAGCATATTAAAAATTCTAACAGGTACTGCCACAAGAGCAAGGTTCCATGACTTGAATAGATGACAAGAAATGATATGATAGTCAAATAAATTCAAAGGGTGACAACAACTACTGCCTAGTGAGTCACAAACTTGTTAGCACATTGAAAGTCCCAAGAATTTCTATACTATGTGTGCTTACATGTTACCCTCTACTAACACTTTTTTTCATCAAAAAATCAAACAAATTACCAGCATTTCAGACTATGTTAGACACATGCTAAAATAGAGAAGAAGCATCCTAGATAACGGAAATATATATATTACAAGTTCTTTTATTAAAATTTCAAACATTTCATCAAGGCTTTAAGTAAGAAAACAGACCTAACTGTTCTGTATTTTAACCTTTCATTATAAGTGAAGCTGCATAGCCAAGAGCCCATCAGGCCTTTAAATGCAGCATTACTAGGGATGTGGCATGACTGGATGCCATATAGCCCTGGGTTAGAGTTTTAGGTTAGCTGTTTGACAGCCGTGTAACCTCAGTTAAATGGTTTTGCTGTATTTCAGTTTTCTTATAAGAAAATATGAATTGTAACAATCACCTTGCAGGGCTGATGGAATTACTTAGCAAACTAGTTGGCATGTACAGGGTCTTGTATAGTACCCGTACTATACTATTCAGTCCATAGCAGAAGGGAAATGACTAAAGACAGGAGAACCCACAGACTGAGAGGCTTCTGAGTAACTGTTAGCCTTTTCATGGGAAAAGAAGTGGCATGTTACTAGCTCAGAGCTTTGAGTGCCATGATATTTCTATAACTAAAAGTTTCCTTTTAATATGGAATCGCACTGGTCTTATTTACTTGTAAGTGTTGCAAAGAGAAGGTTGTTTGGCTTTTCAACAGGTCAAGGAGAATCCTGTGCAAAAAGCTGCCTGCCACTGATAACAAATTAGTAGCATGTTAGGAGTGTTGGAGTATAGGGAGGCTGCTCTTTGCCTGTTAGTGAGTAACAGTAGATTATTGGCAGACATAATGAAGTCAGGCAAAAAGAACTTATTTGTAATCTGTATCATTTCAGAGACCTGGAATGCACTGTGACAAGGTTTATAATTCACAGTATGAAAGTAAATAACCTGAACGGGATATTTGGCTGTTTTTGGATCCCCTGGGGTCTTTTAGCACAAGTGAAGTACATGTGAGTTTGTCAGGAATAAAGGCATCTTTCTCAGTACATTGCACAGGGAAATTATGCATAGAGCTTCTCCTTCTGTGTGCAACGAGAGTGAAGAATTTAACACCTTGCTCACCAGAATGAGAACATTCTTCTCTTCTAGTTCTGCTCTAAAGACTGCTTCTTAGTCCAGGTGGCACTGAATGTGCCTCCTTAATACTCACCTGTTGGCGACACAGAAAATGTGAAAACTGCTACGTTTCTGACTCCACAGCAAGTGATGACGAGCCTTCTGGATAATCTGTAAGATTGAAAAGTACACGTGAGCGCTATGCACTCAGTGTGTCCCTCGGAGGTTTGTGATGCTTGTTCCCCAGTGTGGTAGCACTAAGTGGTAGAAACTTTCAGAAATGGGGTCAGTCAATGGGAGTTCTAGCGTCAGAAGGCCACACTGTAGTACTTATTTAAGTATAATTCTTGTATGAGGAGATTGTTATAAAGCAAAGCTGCTCTCAGTGTTTGGCCTTTTCTGCAGCAGCCATTTCTCTTTTTCATGATGCACCAAGTCATAATATAGGTGTATGTGTATGTATGTGTGTGTGTGTGTGTCTGTGTGTATCTCTCTATGTGTGTATCTACGTGTCTCTGAGTGTGTGTGCCTGTATCTGTGTATCTCTGTGTGTGTGTCTCTGTGCGGATGTTGTGCTGAGATACTGTCACTATATCATTTCAATCTTTCAGCCACCATAACTGCAAGACACATAAACTATTTCATAAAGTACATAACCTCTGATAACTTTTCATTTTAACAGAAAATGGACCATAATGGTAATCAAATGTCTCTCTGTCTGTCTTATATGGGTGGATATTTGGTCAGTAACATTTTTGTCTTTCTGTTCAACGCCAACATCTATAGAGCTTCAAAGACTGGTGTTCTAACAGGAAACCTTGATACACAGAGGCATTTCTGTGCCAAGAGCAGTAGGTCTGCTGTATTAAAAACTAAGATTATTTTATTTATCAGCATAATGTGGTCGATAATACTGGCTGGTATTTGACTTAAACAGCTGTGCTAACAGCTCAACACCATCTGTCTTTAATGGAATGTTTTGGGTCTTGTTATCCACAAAATTACCCTATCTCACTGTTATTCCAATGGACATAATTGAGACAGCTATTATAGTATTTTAGGTGTTGGTGTGTTTCTGAAAGGGAATGAGGTATCTAGAAAATAAGAGGTTTTAGGATTAATAAGAGACATCATTTATGGTACAAATGTTTTGTTTCTGACCTCTAGCTTTTTGGAAGTGGGAAATAGCATTCTGGATTACTTTGTTTAATGTACGGATAAGCACTTTCTTCTCACTCTCAGCATACTAATGTAGTTGCCAATTGAGATACAAATGTCCACAGTGAACATCCCCTACATGTAGTAAATTTTGTTTTATGAAATCAATGTACCATTCAAAGTGCTCCCAAAATTGTGAGAACTCTGAAGTCCGAGGCTAAAGAGCCAGGGTGCCAGGGTGGCCTACTTTTGCCATGGCAGGCTGGCAAATTTATGCTACTGAGTTAATCAGGCTTCAGACCTGACTTCAGCAAGATTTTGTTTTCTCTAGAATCCCATTTTCTCCCTATTTCCCTCCTTCAATCTCTGTCTCTCTCTGTCTCTCTCTGCCTTTGCTGTGAATTTGCAGCCCAACCTGCATCAAGTTTCCATGTGCTGCTCTACCAGGTAAGTACTGCCATGCCTAGCTAGCTTCAGGGTATTCAGGGTACTGTTAAGTCAGAACCGCAATCAGATAGAGCAGTCCCGTCTTCACTGAGGGCTGGAGAGGAGCTCATTTGTAAAATGAGGGAAAAATAGGTAGCAAGTGCTCAAACGTATGTCACAAACATTCTGAGACAGCAATCAATAGCAGGAATGGGAATTTTTAAGTGCAATAAATGTCCTTGGCCTTTTTGCTCCTGAGAAGCAATGCTAACAGACTCTTTCAATGCTCATTACTAGCTGACAGTTGGCTGTCTTGATACATTTTTAGGTGTGTTTGGCACTAAATCTTTGAGAAGTTGATCTTTAGGATTTTGCTAAGTGGGTTTCTTTTACTTTTTCCCAGAGTGACTTGCGCTTTGATTTGGCACAACACTCCCACCAAACAATGATTTAAATTAAAACTATGCTCTTGTGAGCACTGATGCTTCAGATGAAAAACCTGATTTTCAATTTCCTTCATGGCTTCCTTCCCAGGGTGAGATTAAGCTAAAACTGCATAGGTGAGGAATGAATTGAAAAAAAAAAAAAAAACCCGGCAGAAACTTCCAAGAACTGTGTTCTGCATTATAGAAGACAAAGAGCAGGCTTCCAGAGTCAATACAATGCCTCCTGTGGTCTATCTACAGCACTTCCTCCATGGTGCTGCTCTTGCTGCTTATGCAGTAGTGATTTCCCTACCAATCGAAAGCATGTCAATCCAGTCTTACTGTATGCTGGCTTAGCTCTGGATTTCTTGTGCTATTTAAGATCTATTTCCTCCTTTCCTTTAAAATCTAGGTTAGCACATGGATTCTTGATATTCTATGAAGCAACTCTGTGTGTGTGAGTGTGACTGTGTGTGACTCTGTGTGTGGGTGTGTCTCTGTGTGTGTGTGTTTAGACACTAGTTCTCATAAATAGAGTAGAGAAAAGAGTGCAATATGGAGAATCCAAGAACTTGAGTCATGATTGCTTTAAGACCCATTACTCACTTCAAGTCACTTCCCCCTTCCCCCTAGCTTCAAGCTTTTCATCTGTACAATGGGCACTCAGTATTGTTGGGTAGTCCCCCCTTGAACTTTGTTTTCTGATATTCTAATCTTGGCCCTCTACTTTTTCTTTCACAATTTCCATGTCCACAGAGATGCATTTCAATGCACTTTAGTTCCTTGTTTTAGTTTTATTTTCTTCCTCTGGTGTACATTTGTTGAACTGCCATATCTACGACCAATGACTCCCATATCTCACTAGTCCAGGCGTTTTCAACCTGTGAGTTGTGACCCCTGATATCACATATCCTATATTTATATTACAATTAATAACAGTAGCAAAATTACAGTTATGAAGGAGCAATGAAAATAATTTTATGGTTGGGGGTCACCACAACATGAGGAACTGTATTAAAGGATCACAGCATTAGGAAGGTTGAGAAGCACTGCTCTAATTAGTGGACTATTCCTAGCTCTAGAAAAGGTTTTTAGCCTTGATTCCTTTTTTCCATTTTTATAGTTATTGCCTGCCATGAAGCTATTATGACATATATGGAGTTTTCTATTACTCTTCTCATTTCTTATTTCAAAATTCCAATTCATTCTGTATACTGGTGTTTCAATGATCTTTCTAAAATTTATCTTTAATTATATCAATACTAAGAGAAAGCTAGAATATTAATAAAAACTATTTTCTATTTTATAAAACCTACCAAATCCTCTACCATGTTGCCTCCATTATGACTTTACCTATTACCTATATGTCATTTTTATAACATTTCCCTTGTCGTGCATCTTCCGTCTTCCTTACAACGGTCATTAGTCCTCTTCCCCCCTTTAATCAATATATTTATTTCTACCTCTGAGAAAGGGAAAATAGGAAACATAATAAGGTGTTGGTTAGAAGTCACTGCTCAAGATGCTACTAGAGCTGCCAAGGTGAAAATACACAAAGAGATTTTTGTCCCAGAATGAGGAAGCTCTCTTAACATTGGAAGTTTACCACAGCCTTTAGTACATAATAGCGTTCTTTCAAAGAAGGAGACAAACTATTTGGCAAAAAACCATCAGGTTGGGTTATTCAGCTTAACTTCTGACTCCTTAAGATCAGCTGGATGCAGAGCTGAAGATAGATAGCCTGGGGACAATGGAACTGAAACTGAGGTACAGAGAGGAGGGGTGTTTCCAAAAGTCACGTGCTCAAACTAGGGACTGAGAATTGTTTCCCAGGATAGAAGTTTACTCATATTTCTTCTTCCTTCTATTTCTGGTAAATGAGGCACAGGAACTAAAAAGTATTTTCTTTTAATTGGCGCCCTAAAGCATGTAAACTGAAAAGGAGATGGGAAAAGGAGAGGTACTGAGTGGTGAAGTAATTAAGAGTTTGGGTTTGGGGACAGGGTCCATTGCTCTGCTGTGTGACACTGAATTCATCTGAACTGCACTTTCACTGAATATTTACAACTCATAGACATGATCATGATTATTAAATGTTATAGAGTCTATAAATCACCTGGCATATAACAGGAGAGTTCTCACCTAGTACTCAATTGCCAAATTCTTTACTGGAATTAAGCTGTTTTCTTCTTGCCCCTGTTAGACAGTTTGAATTCTATTTACATCATGAAGTCTTACCTGGTCAAGTGACCCATAGGAAATCACCTTTATCTTAATTTTTATAGCACAAATCTTATTATTCTGCTCATTTAGTCAATAACATGTGGCTCATTAATCAGTGTGTGTGTGTGTGTGTGTATTTAAGATAGGGTTTTATCATGTAGCTCTGGTTAGTCTCAAACTTATAATCTTCCTGTCTCAGCTTCCAGAGTGTTGGCATTGTAAGCATTCTTCGCCATGCTGAGAACAAATATTAGATTGTAATACCTGTAATTTTAAGCAGATTTTGAAAAGTGTCTTATCTTTTAAATAAATGGAAGGAATAGTAGTTTCGCCTTCATTTTCCTTTTTCTGTAGTATTCTGGTCAACTATACAGACATCCTATCCTAGAATCACAATGCCTCTTGTATGTAAAAATAAGAAAGAAAATAGCCTGTTGGAAAATACCTACTTACCTAAACATCCCAAATGTCTATGTAATAAGGATATGACTCCTGTGAAGACTAATTTCCAAGGTGTTAGTATTAGGCTGTTTTCTTCTTTCCCTTGTTAGACAGTTTGAATTCTATTTACATCATGAAGCCTTATCTGATCAGGTCATCCATAGGAAATTCCACTTATCTTTAAATTTTATAGCACAAATCTTACTATTCTGTTCATTTAGTTAATAACAATTTAGTCAATACATAATTATTTAATGTGTCTTGAATTCCCATGTTGAAACTCTAGCCAAAAAATAAAAAATTAAGCAAGTCTAAGGACGCTTCACTAGCTCCCCCACTGAGTCCACATATTAAATAGCTTCTGAAGAAGTAGATTTTTCTTAAGGAAGAGAGCATGGATTTTATGATTTTTTTTTTAAAAATTCAACTTTAAACCTCATCTTCTATGGTGATGTTTAAAGATCTACAGTCATGACCATATAGGTTCTGTTAGACCTG